CAACGAATTGAACTTGGTGAAATCGAACGATGTTTACTTAACATCACATCCATCTCTGCTTGTGTTGTCATGAAATGGAATGATGATTACTTAGTTGCTTATGTTCAATCTTCTCATGTGAATGAGGTAGAAATACGTCAACATTGTCAATCTCATCTTCCACCACATATGATTCCATCCATATTTGTTATACTTGATAAACTACCTTTGAATCCAAATGGAAAAATAGATCGAAAACTTTTACCACCACCTAATTTTTCATCGTCAACGGATAATATTGATGGTAATGTGCCGCACACTACTTTGGAAGAACAGTTACAAGATGTATTTAGTCAAGCCTTTCGTATTGAAACTCCTCGTGTTGATGTTTCTTTTGGTCAACTTGGTGGTACATCATTAGGTGCTATTCTTGCACTTACATTGATTCGTCAACAGATTTCTAATAAAGTTGACATTGGTCTTTTATTTTTTAATCCATCTATTCGACAATTGGCTCAAGCTATAGAGCCTTTATTAGTTGTCGAAGAACTACAAGAGGCAGCTTCTACACTCAATAAAATTCATGAAACACATGATCGTCTGACACCCTCAGTTGTCATAGAATCTTTGGGTATTGCACTCCTAGTTTGCCAGTGGTTATTACCAATTATGATAATTCATCAATGGTGTCCACTATTTTTTCCTATCTTACCAATATGTCATCTTTTATTCTATGTCATATGTTCACGTCTATTTGCACCGCAAAACATCAAAGATCACAATGTGTTCTCTTGGTGCTATTATCGATGGTGGTTTTTAGATCGATTATGGAATAACAATACATTTTGGTTACAACATACACTTGGCACACCTTTGTACAATTACTATCTTCGTCTTTGCGGTGCTCGGATTAATCTCAACGCACATATTTATACAATAAGTATTGATGCTCCATGGTTGTTAGATATTGGTGATGGAACTTGGATTGCTGATAAAACGACTCTAAACTCTTTATATTACAATGATAATAATACTTTTACATTACACTCAATTAAAATTGGTTGCTATTGTTCAATCAGTGCTCGATCAATTCTGTTTGGTGGAGTTGATATGCAAGATAATATTATTGTTCAGCCTATGTCATCAGTCACTGGTTTCATCGCATCTCGAACGATTATCGATGGTGACGAACATAAATCGGTTTCATCAGACATTTCAATCACACATAGTAACAGATCATTCTCAATATGGCACAAGATCTATCAAGTTATTACAATCATCTCATTGATCTGTATTCATTGTACACTCTTAGCCATTGTTTACAAAGTTTATTCAGTTGAACAAATACCACTACCTATTAGTATTGCTTTTTGCTGGACTTCATGGTCAATTATTGCCTGTTTTCTCACTCTCTTTCTGTTAAAATTCGTAGTTGGTTCTTGTGCTGCTGGTGAGACATATATAACTGCATCATGGTCATATTTACACAATGTTTGGCTTCGTCAATTAATTGTATCTAGTTTTCATTATGCCTGGTCACTACCAACTGGATATGATTATCTTTATCCTTTGATTCTCCGTTGGCTAGGTGCTCAAGTTGAAAATGATGTCAAACTTGCTGAAATAGACATCTTCTTGTCCTATCCAACAAATCTGTTGAAACTCGAAACAGGAATCACTAGTTTTGCTTATGTTTTATTAGTTCCTACTGAAATAACACTTTCAGGTGATCATCGTGTAGATTGGGTAACACTCGGATCTTATACAAATCTAGGTAATTTTTGTTCAATTTTACCGGGTAGTCATCTTGCATCTCATACTATGGTTGGCAATTTAACACGTATCACTCGAGAAACGAATAGCAACGACGGAGATATTTTTATTGGTGTTCCTGCTCGAGCTATACCATTTAAAGTGCCTTTTAAACAAGCAACGGAAGATGAAATTAAAACTATCCCGTTTTGGAAGACATGTTTTTGTTATTATATTAGTAAATGTCTTCTCATAGGTATCTATTGGTTAGGTGGTCTTGTTGGCGGACCAGTCATTCATACAATAATTGTTTGCAGTTTATATCAACGGCATTTCTATGCAGATGATGAAACACTCCAACAAATAATAGGAAAACTTGGAGAAGATCACCGAATTTTTGTTTGTTCATTTCTTGGTAATACACAATGGCTAATTCGATTATTTCGAATATACGGTGCAAACATCGGCACCAATGTGATTGTACCTAATATTTCTTCTATTTTTGATTACAATTTGGTGACTATCGGAAGTCATGTTCGACTTAATATTAATGCTCATATTGTGGTAATATACTCGTTTTTTGTCATTTCTCATTTAAACATTATTGTTCTCTACAATCATTTCAGTGTCACACTTTCGAACAGCGTATTCTGAAACTAGTTCCTGTTACAGTAAGCCACTCGTGTGTTCTTATGTGTGGCTCAATTGTAATGCCAGGTTGTAAATTAATGGGTAACAATCGGCTTTATCCGTTTACACTCGTAATGAAAAATGATTTATTACAACCGAACACACAATGGAAAGGACTTCCTGCACGTAAGTCATTTAGATAGATAAAGCTATAGACACACTTCTATAGTACCATTAAGATATTAGATAATATTTTGTAAATTCCATTATTTTCATGATGATTTTAGATATTTCTTTTTCTGCATTATTAAAAACATGATTTTCATGAACTTTTCATTTATTATGATTTCTAAATCCTTTGTAATGATATATATTCATTTAACTTTCATACGATTTGTTCCGTATCTGGGTATGAAAAAGTTATTTTCTATTATTGATGACAAGTGACTAAGAATATTATTTGATCCATATACTATAACGTATAAAATAGATTTTCTTCTCATTAAAATTTCAATTGACCATCATCTATGATATATTCAACGTATTCAATATACTTTTGCCGTCTTTGGCTCTGTTTTACTGATACATATCAAATTTAAATGTATCCTTCTATTACATTTGACCCTAAATTCTTTAGTCAAACCTCATCCTACGGGATAAATTAGTTATAGGTTGGCATTTCATATCGATGGATAAACTTTCCTCGACTTCTTTGTAACATGAAACCAATCGATAATGCTCATGCTCTTTTTTAGAAAATTTATTAAATTATTCCGATATTCTCGTTATCCTCACTTTTATTTTAAATATTCTATACGTAGTACACTCTAGACAATGAAAATCAAATTTTTATCATTATAAGCTTTGATTAAAGTGAACAGTATTTCAATGAAATCCGAAGATCTAGGATCTACATGTCATATGATCTGATAAGATGATACATTTACCGTATTTTTCTAGAATTGAAAAACAATATCACACATTTTCTAGGATTCTTTGAAAGTAATATCGTTCAAAGTTAAACTGTTCTTTTGACGATCATGTCATATGATACATATATGCATCATTTTATCGTATTGGATTTCTTTCTCTTAGAATCTTATGCAGCAAAACCAATATTATCTCGATCTGCACCCGTTTGTGATGATGTTGTCAAATGTCAACAGAAATCTGAGAACTTTGATCGACTTTTTTTGTGGTATAAAAAAATTTCAAGTATCTATACGAACGTCAATGAACTACAATTTATGAATTGGGGCTATGCAGATTTAGATGAGTATATTGATGGCAATACTGGTTACTATTCAAAGAAACTTTATCAACAGGTAAGAGAAGATGAATATAATAATTCATGTGAAAGTTTGTAATAACACCTTACAGGTATTTTAAACAGATTGATTTTGCTGTCGATTGAAAAGTCAATGAAGTGACGAATCTGTGTAGATGTAGGAGTAATAGATAGTAAATCGATCGCAATCGAAGAATTTTTTAGTTGTAACTCATTAGTACGAATAACTCGAAATTCACTAATCGATATTAGTTGTGACAATATCAACATGAAATTTAAATATTTTCTTCAAACATATATTAGAGAATGTGTAGAATTACTTATCATCATTAGAATATTTTGTTTTTTATTCTAGGTACTTGCTAATGTAACACTTACAGATAAAAATATACTCGAAGTAGGTTGTGGTAGAGGTGCTGGTGCTGCCTGGTGTGTTCGTACATATGCTCCTCGCTCTTATGTTGGAATAGATCCTTCTCGAGATATTATTAACCTATGTGAACAAGTTTATTCAACAATTCCTCAACTCTCGTTTATGATAGCTGATCCAAAAACTCATTTATCATTTCAAAATGAATCAATCGATGTTGTTCTCTCGATTGAAACAACAAATAATTTTGATGATATAGTAGCCGTGAAGCAATTCGTCAATGAAGTTACTCGCGTGCTTACTCCTAATGGATACTTTCTCTGGTGTGGCTTGTGTAATGTAGATGGATCAAGTGTATTGATTGA